ACAATCTAATAAAAAAAACCTAATCGGTTCAAGAGAAGTATTAGGTATGGAGGGACTTTCAATTGTACTTTCAACTAATTCTTCTGCTGACACAGGCAAGCAAAGTGCATGAGATATACATTTTTCATCAAAACCATCACCAAACATGATAGGATATAAATCCTGTCTAAAAGATAAGGGTGTTTTCATTGCATAATATTGCGCTAATGAACAAAAATCTGTTACATCTTCTGCTTCTAATGCACATGGCATAGCAGCAATTGCATCTATTATACTCTGCTTATCATTATCTTTCATACTCAAAATCTGCTCTCTGTGGAAAAGCAAAATAATAGGTCTCATTAAAATTTTAAGTGCCAAAATAAACAAAATATATTTTATAATTCTTACCTAGCATTTATTACCATGATAAGTGAAAGAAATAACATAAAAAATGGATCAGCTTGCATGAAATATAAATCCCACATTGTACAAACAGCTGGCAATGAACATACACCAGCAAATAATGTAGTGACCCATCCTTTTGTATACTGATCAGGAGACACCCTTTTTGTATCCAAGAAAGAACATAATTCTGGTTCATGATAAAGTAGTAATAGTCTTAATACAGAACTGTACGTTTCATCTCTAAAAATACATAAAATAGTACCATTATTTATAATAAAAACAAGTATATTAGTTAATTTAAAGAATAAATATTATTTCTTTTTACATAAAATAAAATTAATTGTAAAATACTATACCTAGGAATATAAAAGTCTATTATTGCTTCAAATAAATTATATGTTGCACTTCGTGGAAGTTTTAAAGCTATCAAAGGACCCAATAATTCTATCCAACCATTTCCTCTTTTATATTGTTTCCCTTTACTTTTACAATAAAATGTTAAAATAGACTCTAAATCAGAAATAATAGAAACTTTGTCTTCATCATCATTCCCTAGTTTTGCTATAATAAAAATATATTCTACAGAAATTACAATAGTTCAAAATATGTAAATAAATATTTTATTTCAGCTAAATATTATTTACAAAAATATGAGAAGTATTTATTCACATAAGTAAATCATGCAATATTATTTGAAAAACTTACCAACTAATTGCTGACAATCATCACGTATAACATTTTGTTCTGGTAAATCAAAAACTTCATTGAATTGATTTATCTGATTACCTCGACCACTAACATCTAAACAAGCTTGCCATACATCAGGTCTTAAATATGCAGGGACAGCTTGTCCCTTACAAATTGCATAAATATCAGATGCAGATGGTGCTTCTGTATCAAGAAGAGCTGCTTCTAACTCCAATACCCTAAATCATTATTTTGTATTAATATATTTGTTATGATAAAAAGAGAATAATAATATGTTAGCAAATATTTAATCATAAATTTTGTTTTGTATATGGCATAAAGTATAGAATAATTTATTTACATAAATACTTTAACACAGTAATAATAAACATCTGTAAACATATGAACAAGCTTAAAAAAATATGTAAATACTTAAAAATTCAAAGTATATTTTTCCTTAGTCAAAAAGAATTAAGAAAAAATTTATAATGCAGACCAATACGTAAAATTTATACATAATCATATGTAGATTTGCTTATTTTTAGTACACTATAATCTTCAAAATTCAAGGAAAGTTAGTGCAAAATATTGTTGCAAAAAGTCGATCGAATTAAATGGCAAAAAGATCAGTTGAAACATTTTATAGACAGAACGAACTACTGACTCTTATATTCATTAAAAAAAACAATTTATATGAAAAATATAATAAAATTTGTAAACCAGCTCACCAGGTGTTTGCCTGTAGTGCCATTTTGATAAACGTCACACTTGAATTGTAGTGTGTAAAATTGTGAATTTGATGTAAGTTATAATTTTCTGTACCGCAATAAATTTTTTTGATCACTTAACATTCTTTGTCGACTTTCATAACTTTCATCACATTTCTTATAGTTTACGGTCTCTTTAAAATTCAACGATCTATAGATAGCCCAGACAAAATTTTGCTCCTGTTGACAAACCGTTGCCATCTTTTAGATAAAATTTTGCTAAGAAAACCCGCGAATATTAAATGATACTGTTTAGAATATATTAAAAATTTACCTGAATATATAAAAGATATTTTATTATTAGCATTACATAAACTTATTTATTTATGATAGACCAAAAATTCATATTTTATTAATAATAGATATTAAAACAAATATTGTTTCTTTTAATGTTTATTAAAAATATAATAAAAGAAATGTTTTCCATATTTCTTTATATTTGATATAGTAAAATAATTATACAAATTAAAATATTTATCAAATTCAATATTTGCTTTAAATATTTACATCATTAATTTTATCTAATCAAACACATTATACTTATATTACGATATATTTTATAGAAATATATATTTATGTAAAATACCACAAGATAATTCTACACTTGTTTTATACTACTTTCTCAGATTAATATAATATTTATAACTACATTTAGAATTATACTTGCAGAAAAATCAGACAATTGTTTTAGAGTATAATTCAAAGATAAAATTATAATTGTTCAATTTAAAATTGTATATTATCCCTTATATATTACAAATTTCAGCCGTACCAGTATTTGTAACTGTCGATAAAATTAAGCGCAAACTTCAGACGGTGGTGAAAATATGTACTAAGCGATTCGCTTCTCCGAGGGTTTCGTCTGTAAGTGCCTGTAGTGATCTTTTCGCATGATTGTTACGAACTTTGTATTAGTTGTCACTGTTCATTTTTATATCGGTGAGATTAAAAGAGAGATCAAAAACTAATAAAAGTTCTTGACACTTCGAGACAGTAAAAAATTCTCAAAAAATGACGGGAGCAAGTGGCGTGAGCATGACCGGTCCACTACCAAAATGGCAACTTGCTTTGGCTGTTGCAGCACCGGTTGCTTTAGGTCTTGGTTATATGTACTATAAAAATAATTCTAAACCGTCTTCAGAACCTAGTCGTGGTAAATCAAAGAATAATTTCAAAAAAAATGGCGCACCAAGCACTGAGAAACAAATATCAATCGATGTCGATTGTCTACCAAAAAGTACGGCCGAACCAGAGGTTAGAAACACATTGATTACTATTTCTGTTTTATCGCTAGTAGTTTTTTTTATAATAGCTCACACATTTGAAGTACTTTCAAGTAAAGTTTTTATTTATTAATTTTTTATCATTAAGTCCTTACCAGGACATGAAGATATTGAGTAATTCATAAAAGTAGAGATGCTATATTATTTGCACTTTGCACTTGTATATTTTCTTTATATCAAATGGGAGTATATCATTATAGACTCCACTAGAAAAAGCTCAAAAATTAAAAGCTGAGGGAAATGAATTATTTAAAATAGGAAAATACGATGAAGCAATAAGTCACTACAATAATGCAATTAAAATATGTCCAATAGAAAATACAGAAGCTCTTGCTACTTTTTATCAGAACAGAGCTGCTGCTTATGAACAACTGGTAATAATTTTTCTGTTATAAATAGTTGTTTTACAATAATATTTTATATTCCATCGCGCGTGTGTGTGTGTGTGTGTGTGTGTGTGTGTAATATTATATATACGTATAATATATGTATATATATATTATATTTCATATATCATTCATATATTATTATTGTAGATATATTTTATATATTATAACAATATATTATAGAAAAAATATAGTAGTGTGAAAGCAGATTGTACAAAGGCCTTAGAATTAAACCCAAGATATGCAAAAGCATTATTACGTCGAGCAAGAGCAATGGAACATTGTAATGAATTAAAATCAGCTTTTGAGGATTTCACTGCTGCTTGCTTTCTGGAAAACTTTACTAATCAAACTGCAATTATGATGGCAGATAAGGTTTTAAAACAATTAGGTAAATTATACATGAACATGAAATATATAATATTTAATAAAATTGAGTAAAATTAAGTAGAAATATGAATTTGATTCTTTTTTCAGGTAGACAGCATGCAGCAGAATATCTTGCAAATAAAAAATTAGTTGTGCCTAGTAAACATTACATTAAAACATATATTAATACTTTCTATAATGATCCTGTTTTTTCTTTACATCAGAATCCTGATTATGGTAATATATCTCCGTAAGTATTATAAAGTATTTAAAGCATATATTTTCTTAAGTTATTAAGTTATAACTAAAACTGTATTCACTTTGGTTTTGTATAATTCTTAGGGGTTTTGCAAAAGTTTTACAATGTATGCAGGAACAACAATATGATGATGTAATACCATACTGTACTGAAGAACTCAACAGTTCCAATCCAGATACTGTGTCACACAAAATGGAAATATTACTCTTACGAGCTACATTTTATCTTTTATTAGGACAGCATGATGCTGCAATTGAAGACTTTGAAGTTATTATAAATACTGATGATGTTCCAGTACCCCTGAAAGTGTATGCTTTGATAAAAAGAGCTACCTTATTTATGCAATTAGAAAATCCAGACAAGAGTTTCTGTGATTTTAAAATGGCTGCTGAACTTGATCCTGAGTGTGGCGATGTTTATCATCATAGAGGACATGTATCAATAAAAATTTTTTATAATTTTATCATTACATAATAATATAGCGATTAGTAAAGATGTATTACACGGTCGTAGGCACATTTACTTATGGAAAAAATACATGAAGCCAGAGAAGATTTTAAAAAAGCCACTGAACTCAACCCCAATTTTGGATTAGTGTATGTACAGAAGTGTTATACAGATTATCGTTATGGTATGGTGGAAAGAAGCACAGAAATAATAGAAAAAGCTATGAAAGATTTTGAAGTAGCCTTTGAAAAATTCCCAGACTGTCCAGAATGTTACACTATGTATGCACAGGTATAAATGATTATTTTAAATATTTCAAAATTGGTATTAAATAATATCTGATTTCGCCATATTGTATGATGGTATAGACATTAATGGAACTACAAGAGTATCAGAAAGCAGACGCTTATTTCGCTAAAGCAATTGAAAAAGATCCAAATAATGCTACAGTCTATGTACATAGAGGTTTATTACATCTACAATGGAATGCTAATATTAACAAAGCTGTTGAATACATTAATACAGCTTTGAAAATAGACGATAAGTGTGAATATGGATATGAAACTTTAGGAACTATTGAAGCTCAAAGGTAAATTGATACTTTGAAATGTGTATATATTTTTTGTTATATATAAGCATAAACAATTAAACAATAAGCAATAACACTTTTTGTACACAGTTTTAATAAATGACTTAAATTTTTTAACAGAGGAAACATAGAAGAAGCAATAAAATTGTTTGACAAGGCCTTAACGTTAAGTCGCACACTTATAGAACTTACACATATTTTTAGTTTGAAAGATGCTGCAAAAACGCGACTTACGATAAAAGAGAAATTGAATTCAGATATAATGTTGAACTTTCGGAATATTTAATAAATGTTTATAAAGCTATACTGATCAAAATCGAAATTTCAAATAATAAATCCACATGGTTCCAGAATTAAAAAATGAAATTTCATATCTACAATATGAACAAAATTTTATACAAGGTTTTAATAGAGATTCTGTAATAGTAAAATCATTAATTGCTTTTACTTACATGCATATGTAATGTTACTTATTCAACTGGTAAAACTTGTTTCTTCTAAGGAAGAAATTTCAAGTATGTAATAATGACTGATCATTATTATTTTTTAATTACTTTATTATAGTACCTTTTTCCGATAGTTTCTATAAACAAGACTTTTGAAAGTTGCATTTATTAAATATTTAATTTGTTTTTGTTAGATCTACGATTCTATAAAGATAAAATGTCCATTATTACAATTATTAATTAAAATTTTCGTCGAAAACTTTACATTCTATTTATGTGATCTGTTATACATCTGTCTATATCTGTTTCACGAATTTACTACATTTAAATTACTTAAGTATTTTTAAATTTTTTGCTGTATGTAGAAAAAAAAGATATATATATATATATATATATATTGTTGACAAAAAGTAATTGAAAACTTGAATAATTTAATAATTTGTAATAATTTACCAATTACTGTAATCGTGAGTCCAAAACTGTATTTTGTACTACTTTGTGTATAAAGCTCATAAAACATTTTTAATTAAGTCATGTATAATTTATATATGAAAATATTAATATTATTGTTATATTATTTCCCAAAAATTATAAATTTTATTTTGTTGTAATCTAGTCCCTGATACATTGTGACATTTGCAATTAAAGACCATTACAACTTATAAAAGGGAAGGAACATGTTTTACTTTCTGATAGTACTACAACAAAATAATATTGATATAATCTATATTCATTAATAAATGTATGGTAACACTAATAATAACCATAAAATAAAAAATACACTTATATTGAAAAATTCCTGTATGAAAGAATAGGCGATATATATATATATTATATTTCATTATAAAATAACAAAGAAACTTCATATTTTACATTTACATATCTTGTTTATATATATGCTTTTTTAAAATTCATAGAAGATTGAAGCAAGAGGATATCTTATGATAAATGCTAATGAACTGCTAATAACCTGAAACATTAGTAAAGTTTTAGCAAATTAAAACATACTGTAAAACAACTGAATATATAAAGATGTGTAAATTATTAAACTTAATATTATATTTTTAACATCGATAATCGGTAACTGATCGCAATAAGTATAATGAAAATAATTTTCTCATATCATAATATGATCTGTTAATTATTATTGACTAACATTTCCATAAGGATCGACACTATTTATGTGGAAATTATTTTACTTATATTTTTGTTATAAATTTGAATGATACTTAAGTCACTTTAATATATTATTAAACTTTCACAGCTAGTTTAGTCTTTGTTTCAGATTTATTTTTACATAATATATCTTATCAGATATATTAGTATCAGAAAATTTGTTATGTAAAAAAATAATTCCAACTAAATATCTTAAAACATTAAATACATGATTGTAAGTTCGAAATTTATTTATTTATAAAGAAGTTTAATAATTTCCACATCTTTTGTTTAGCTTTTTTAAAGCTTATTGATAATTTATTGATTTGTTCACAAATACTTTACCTGAATTAATAATAAAATCAATGTAAGTGTAGGTTCTTTCACTGGACCAGTTTTAATAAGTACAAAATTTATTAATGTAAAATTATTGCAAATAACAACACCTTTGTCATCTTCTTGCCATTTTATTACATTTAATTTCTTAAATATCCATGTTATAATTTTACCTAAGAAAAAAATTCATTTAATTTCCAAACAAACATAAATATATATATCAAGTCTAAAATATAAAATATAAAAATATATTTATATACCTATTCTGCTGATATCTTGTTTATTAAATACTATAGTACTAACTTCTAATTTATCAGTTTTTTTATTATATCTGTAAATAAATATTGATATAATAATTTCTAAATATTAATACAGAAGCAGTTCATTTTAAGACTTACTTTGGTAATCTATGCCTAGGACATGGTATAAAATGAAATAATTGTGGAATACTATAAAGAAAATTAATTATTTGTGGAATGAAAAATAGTAATGTTGTTTTACTGAAATGCCCAATAATACCAACAACAGCAAATGTCATTCCAGATAAATAACAAAAAGTATCACCCACAAATACCTGGGCTGGGTACCTTAAACAAAAAAGTAATATTTTTAAACAGTTAATATTACTGCATAAAAAGATTTGTTATATATAATTATTTATTTAATAGTTAAATAAAAATACTATCTTAATACTTGTAAAATGAAAATAAATACATAGCGAAGAAAATTTTTAAAATATTCATATCAATCAAAAATAAAAAATAAGAAATAAAAAAGTAATATATTTAATGATTACATAAACTACAGTTTTTCAATATTTTAAAATATTTCAATTTAAATTAAATTTAATGTAATAATTATTTCAATAATATTATTCATTATTTAGATATATCTTGACAAAGTAAGCAATAGAATAAAATAACTAATAAAAAATTTATTTTCAAATATATTTTTAATTTATGTAGCTGTTGACTTCCATTTATTATTCATATTTCCGCAAATAATAAATTTCCATAATTAATTAGTACTTCAAGACGCGTGCGCCTTGAGAGGAATTGCGATCGCGCTTGCCAGGAAAGGACGATAAAAGAGGTTGCGTAGAAGGAAGCATTCGGGCGTGGTTTTTCAACTCGTTACGCTGCTCTCAGCAGGCGGCCTAAGAAAACTGTGAGATCTTCATGGAACGGCGGGCTATTTTTGAATAACAAATTGGATTCTTTAGAAAGAGGTGAAAATATGTGGCATTATGCTACAAACGACCCTACGATTAGTAGAACACCAAAAGTTGGTTAGGAAACGTTGTTCCATTCATTAAAGAAGTTGTTAAAGAGCGATCGAGGCCATTTAAAATTAAATGGCACGTCGAAGAGCGGTGACATCACGATTTAAACGTCACGACGCGAAGGCATTCACATCATTAGCGTCAGACTATATTGTGAGTTTATACACAAATTATGTACACCTTGTATTTGAAACGTCATTGGAAATTATTCGCCGGTTAATATTTAAAATTTACCAACATAAGAAAAAACTACACTTCACATGTAAATCCTTGTGTAACATAAATTTTTATGGCATATATACATTTTTTATTCCCTTTATGTACTAAAAATGATTTTTAAGTATTAATTATCGCTTACGCTGAATACAATTGTTTGCTTATTAAAAAAATGAAAAAAATGTGAACTCTAATCTTCATACAATGTATTATCAACAAGTTCAAACTTCGTTTCATAGACATACACATATATTGATTATATACATGCTTATGGATGGATCTCTTTAACAACGAAAATATTATGATCAAAGTAAAATTCTTACAAAGGATAAAATGAATAACTAACAAATTAAAGCAAAAAATAGTGCCATGCAGCCCCGCCTAGATGGGAAACTGGCCTTACTATATACATTATTAGTCTTGCAAGTTCTGATTGTTATGATTTATGTTGCTACAACTCCACCTCCTGAATTAACTGTATCTACAACTCATACCTCTGTTACATTTGTCAAATTTGAAAAACCACAGGTAAGATTTAAATGAGTTTTCTTCTTATTTTTAATCTTATCAAAAATTTCAAATATATATTAAATTTCAGAAACTGAAAATTCGACAAGCTATTCATAAAAAGTTTCCCATCTACCAGACAATCAATGAGGAGATAGTACTAAATGAGATCAAGACTTTCACTCTATTTGAAATATATAATCATACTATCTGTTGGAAACATGGAGTGGATAATCAAAAAATGAGAAATAATGAAGATCTTCAAAAATGTATTTGTATTCATGGGTGGCATGGCTCAGACTGTGGACAACCAGAAGTAGTCTGGAGAGCAATTATGGCATCAAAGCAAAATGTTAGACTGAAACATCGTAAAATAGCTAGACGCATTATTTATACATTTTTTGTACAAGAACATAACTCAGCAATTGCAGAGGTGATAGTAGAAGAACTATATAATGTAGTAGATCTTTTTGTAATCTGTGATTTCAGTACTGCAGAGGATAATTTTCATCATAAATTACTTAAGGGTTTATTACAACATAAACAGAAGAAAATTTTATATATTAATATAGCAACAAAAATCCACAAACCACTGAGAATAGTGTCTAAATACATTTGGGAAAGACTAAAGACTGTAGTACGAAATTTAAAGGATGATGATATTTATATAATGACTGAACCAGAACAAATATTAAACTCCAGGGCATTAATGTTCCTCAAGGTGTATAATGGATGGCCACAACCTATTGGTTTTAGATTAAGATGGTCTGTTTATGGATTTTTCTGGCAACATCCACTTAAGACAACAATATCAGTTGGTGCATGTACAATTGGATTAATGCGCGAAGCTTATCAATCAAATTCTATCTTGTTAGAACAACTAGAAGGAGATTTAAGTGAAAGAGATAGCTTAGGCCTAGTGATAGGTGATTTAAATCACTATGGAGGATGGTACTGTTACTTGTGTCAAGCACCTGCAAATATTATAACTAGTTTACATAATAAAGTTAAATCCAAAGAAATTCAAATAGAAAAAACTATCGATGTACCATTCATTGAGGACCTAATAGGAAGTGGACTGTGGTTAGATGGGAAAACTAATCTCCTAAGAGTATCCAAATCACGGGACCTCTATTTTGCGCCTGAAATAATACTTAATAATACATGGAAGTATGACTGGCTAGTAGAGAATTTTTACGCTAAATTAGACTATTATTGACATATTGGTCACACCTGACTGTGATATTAACTCATACTCAATACTCAATGTAAACTATATAATATTGTACTGAATTTATATACCAAAATAATATGTTGAATGAATTGTGAATGTTAAATGATTTATATACACATATAACTTATGAAGAAAACAGTTATAATTATTTTTTTCTGATTTGAATATATTATTTCATATACTACAAAATTTCATTTATGCGTAATTATTTACCTAATATACATACAACTTACCAATTAAATTTTAATAAACCCAATGATGTAGCTATATATGGAAGCATGAAATACAATGAGAATTGATGTGCTTTCCAAAGATCCCCTGATAACTCTATTACATTAAACAAAAGAATGCTTATTGAAATCACTAAACTTTGTCCAACTTCTAAACCATTTATACCAGCTAATATATTTATAGCATTTGTGCAAAATACTGCTAGCATCCCCATATATAAATAATAAAATATCCAAAGATCCATAGAAAAACCAAACCATGGTCTTAAGGGTTTTGGCACAATAATTAATGTAGAGTTAAAGTTAATATAGTACACCATTAAAAGTGGTAAAGAAGCAATAGTTGGTAATAATAATTTGTGCCGCCAACGAAGATCCAAAACATCATCAGCAAAACCCAAAAGTAACATACAACAAATTGAGAGTAAAGCTGCCAAAAACTCCATAAACTGTAAGTGAAATTTAATGTATTATATGCTATTCATTGATATGTTATTTTTCGCATAGAATATACATGTTGAATAACAGTTTACAAAATATATTTCTTGCATACCTCATTATGAGGGAAGTTTATGTCATTAAATAAATAATTTGTAATGTTATAAGTAAAAGACATCCAGTGACAACACCTAAAGCTTCAGGCCTGTAAAAAAATTAACATGTGCAAATTACCTGTGTCAAAATTAGTGTCCATTAGGAGAAAAGCTCAGGCAAATAAATACTATATGGCTTCAAGAAACTCACACTTTTTCATCACTCTTCTTATTCATATCAATGCCGTATAGGTTAGCTTTAATAAACATATCTTTTATCCTCGGAATTAAACGTATTGTTAAAAAATACACAAAAATCGACATCACGAAATTAATCAAAATTGGAAAAATAAATTTCCAAGTGTTGTTGTTATATTTCACGTTGAACATTTTTAAAACCATTTAAAAATATAAAACAAATCATATGATTGTCGTGGTCATCATTACAGATATTACCTATTATCTATCGTTCTTTAATGTACATAGATAAACTAAATACAATAACACTTCTTTTAAAATATTTTATCAAAAAATGACATCTTAATGTATACATTTTTTGTTTTCAAATGTGAATACATCGAACACATTGTATTATTACAAAATATAGGTAGGAGAAGAAATCGGTTGCAAAATTTAACTCTAATTTGTGAAATTTTAATAACAATATATTAACTAAATATTTTTATTTGTTTACTTTACATTTAAATTTTAGAATATTTACATTTTTTTTTTAATTTTATATAAAAAATAATACTTTTAATTTCTACATACGCAAAAATTTGTGTAAATTATAAAAAGTTGTAATAGTAATACAAATTTAGCTTAAAAATTATTCCATAAACTTACTGTTTGTTTTCAATAAAAAGTTCTTTTGAATGATTATGTATATAAATACATTATTAAGAAAGCATACATTTTTCTTAAAATACAATTGAGGTAATGTAATATTGCAATATCAAAATAGTTAATATTTAAATATAATTACTTAATTTACGTTATTCCTTTTTATTTTCTATTCTGATAGACAATATTTATTATGTTTTTTGATTTACCAGAAAAATTGAAAACGATAATTTTTAATCAGTGTGTAATATTACCTAACCTAGAACTGTCAAATACATAGTATATAATTTTGTAATAAAAAATAATGTGAAATTAGCATATATACATGAAGATTTATATTATTATTCATTGACAAAATTTATACATGTGCTACATATATACATAAATTTTTTTTCCAATTTTGTTTTTTTCAGTGCTAAGACCATTTTAATATTACTTTTTTTCTACAATTGAACATTTAATTTATATAAATGGATAGTGAAAAACAAAAAGATGAAATCATTGCATTGGGAAGCATTTATAATTCAGAAGAATTTTCGTATCGCAAAGAAAATGATCGGTACCAATGTACTTTCATGATATTTCTAAATTTACCTGTAGATTACCATGTAATGTACAAGGATTTTAGACAAATGGATGAACCTAAACAGAAGATTAAGATATCTCATTTACCACCATTAACACTTCATGTCTTTTTACCAGAAAATTATCCATCTGAGTTACCACCTAAATTTACTTTATATTCATCTTGGTTATATCTTTCACTCTTAACTAAACTGTGTAAAAGATTAGACAAATTATGGGAGGAAAACAAAGGTCAAGAGATATTGTTTACATGGGTGGCTTTTTTACAAGATGAGACTTTGGAATTTTTAGATATACAAAATAATCTTAATATGAGCCGTGCTTACACACGTTATATTCAAACAAATAAAATATATCATGCAGACAAAGAATATGCTGTTGACAGTGCAAAAAACAATACAGGAAAAAAGGAAGCTAATGCTAGACATTTAAGTAAAAAGAATTTATTGAAAAAATGTCATGATAGAAGGGCTGTTCTAGATTGTCCTATTGGCAAAAACCCTATTCAAATATTAATTGATTACAGTGAAAAACGTAATCAAATTGAATTCAAGAAAAACTTTTATACTTGTAAGATTTGTTTTGTAGACAAATTAGGAGAACATTGTACACAATTTTTACCTTGTGGTCATGTATTTTGTAAAGATTGCATAACTGGTTACTTAGAAGTAAGAATTAAAGATGCTAATGTACAAAATATTTATTGTCCAGAAGAGAAATGTACATCTGAAGCAACTCCTGCTCAGGTGAATCTTTTTCATTCTTCTCCTTATAAAAATAATAAAAATCTTTTATTATTTGATATACTTAATATTTTATTAATGTCTTTAGATAAAAGACTTGGTAAGTTCAGAATTATTTACAAAATATGACTCTATACTTTTGAGTGTCACATTAGATAGTATGGGAGACATAATGTATTGTCCAAGACGTAATTGTCAATATCCAGTTAGTTGTGAACCAAATGAACAAATGGCAAACTGCCCAGTATGCCAATATGCATTTTGTATTTATTGCAAAATGGTATATCATGGTATAGAACCATGCAAAATTTATTCAGGTATATTAATATAAACTATTGTTTATTGACATTTAAATTTTATTTAATACTTCAGGAACCTATGTAAATTAATATTTTAATTTATTTTATTACAGTTGAAATACAAAAAGTGATAGCTGAATATCAAGAATCTTCTAATGATAAAAAACTGCAAATGGAACAACGTTATGGTAAAAAGCAGCTCCAAACTTTAGTAGAAAATGTTATGTCTGAAAATTGGATTAAAAGTAATAGTCAAAAATGTCCTAAATGTCAAGCTGCCATTGAGGTATTAAAATTTTTATATATTTATTAAAATTATTAGGAATTATTATTAATATTCATGGATTAATAGTAAACATGAATATTATTTAAGATACATATCATGAATTGTTTATGGAATTAAAACATTCATATAGTTGAAGATAAAAATAAATTTTAGTTCTAATCCTTTTTAAAAACTTTAAAATAATAGATAAAGCTACATAATATTTTATACAGTAATTGAGATGATTTATAATTAAAAAAAAAAAAAAAAAA